AAGGATGATCATGAGAAAGGTGAGGGATCAGCCCCGAATTACACGGGAGTAGCTTGTTAATCATCTTAAGGCAGTTGGGACCACAATTGGTAACACACTATGCCACTAATGGACTGAAATCCTGCAGCACCCGCAAGGTCCCCCTGCTCAAGAAGGCACATGTACAGGCCCGTTTAAAGTTTGCCAGAGAGCATCTAAATGATTCAGAGAAGGCTTGGGAGAAAGTGCTGTGGTCAGATGAGACCAAAATTGAGCTCTTTGGCATTAACTCGACTCGCCGTGTTTGGAGGGAGAGAAATGCTGACTATGACCCCATGAACACCATCCCTACAGTCAAACACGGAAGTGGAAACATTATGCTTTGGGTCTGTTTTTCTGCTAAGGGTACAGGACGACTTCACTGCATTGAGGGGCAAATGGACGGGGCCATGTACTGTAAAATCTTGGACGAGAACCTCCTTCCCTCAGCCAGAACATTGAAGATGGGTCTTGGATAAGTCTTCAAGGATTATAATGACCCAAAACATACCGCCATACTGTCAAGGCAACATAGGAGTGGCTCAAGAAGAAGCACATTAAGGTCATGGTGTGGCCTAGCCAGTCTCCAGACCTCAGTCCTATAGAAAATCTGTGGAGGGAGCTGAAAAGCCAATAATCCTTAAGGATTTAGAGAGGATCTGTAAAGAGGAGTGGACCAAAATCCCTCCTGAGATGTGTGCAAACCTGGTGACCAACTACAAGAAACGTCTTACCTCTGTGCTTGCCAACAAGGGTTTCTGCACCAAGTACTAAGTTATGTTTTGTTTGGGGATCAAATACTTATTTCACTCACTGAAATGCAAATCAATTTCTAACCTTTATATAATGTGTTTTTCTGGATTTTTTTGGTTGATATTCTGTCTCTTTACGTTAAGATAAACCTACCATAAAAATTACAGACCAAATTGTGGGCAAACGTATAAAATCAGCAGGGGATCAAATAAATATTTTCCCCACTGTGACTAGTATAGTGATATTGGTAAGAGACTGCTGTGTCTGTATGTAGGTTCTGACTCTGCATCTTGGAGATGGTGGACAAGGAGACGCCCCTGTTGATGACACCAAACTGCACGGCAAACCTGACAAAACGCTGCGCTTCTCACTCTGCAGTGACAACCTGGAGGGCATTTCTGAGGGTGTGTTTTCACCAGACAACCAGCAGATGACTCTGTTGTACATAAACTCTTCCATATCCACCTGACATATTCTTTTCCATTATTACCTTTTGTAATAAATTGAGATGTAAAAGATTGGTAGTTTATTTCTCTTATTATTATAGTTTTTTTTATATATATATATTTTATTTTATTTTGTATTTTTAATTTTTATTTTCACACAACCCACCCAGACATGGACAGAAACGGTTTTGTTTTGTTTAGTTGACTGTTGTTGCAGTAAGTGTTCTGTTGGCTAAACACATCACCAAAGTAACTAAATACAGTAGTAGTACATTAGTTAATATGAATAAATGTGGTCTGTCTGCAGGGCCTTCTAACCGCTCCAATTCAGTTTCTTCTTTGGACTTGGAGGTAGAGTCTGTGTCAGAAGGAGGACCAGGGCCGTCTGGTAGCAATGGTGCAGAGGCCTTGCAGCTACTGGAACATGAACAAGGTGACTCCAGCAACAAATTAAATATGATTTCTTGTAGAATTTTTTTTTTTGTTAGAGTGGTGTAGCTTGATCATTACTCTGATTTGTTCTTTATTTAGCCACTACACAGGATAATTTGGACGATAAGCTGCGTAAATTCGAGATTCGGGACATGATGGGACTAACAGAAGACCGAGACATTTCTGAGACTGTCAGTGAGACTTGGAGCACTGACGTCCTGGGCAGTGACTTTGATCCCAACATGGATGAGGACCGACTGCAGGAGATAGCAGGTAAGAGTGTATTTCTGCAAATCTTGCAGTCATGGCTGCAGTCATACGGCTATGTACTTTATAGTGCGTTAGTTTCCTATAGATTGTATAAAGTTCATATAACCATAAACGGTAGTTTTTCTCTCTTTGCAATTGAAGTTTTAGTTTTAGAGTTGATTTTGATCTTGGATTCCTAACATTTTGTTTTGGATTCAAGTGCAAATTACACATTTGATAAGTGTGACAAATTACACGTGAGAAAAGGTTCCTTTTGGCATTGCTAACCCATTACTGCCACCTTGTGGTTTGCTGAAAAGGTGCACTTCTCTGGATTCTTTTACTGTTATTCTATTCTATAATTATATTTTTATATACAAATTATTTGTCATTTTAGCAATTTTTTAAAAAATTGTTACATGTTGTTGTTATAATAATAATATTAACTAGTTTATATATATATGTATATTTATATATACACATACACACACATACTTATACATGTATGTATGTGTATATATATAAAAATATATTGAATAGTGATAAACTTAAAACTGTATATTATTGCTATTATTATGGTAAAATGGAACAATTTTCTATAAATTGTTTTATTCTTTCAAATCAGATTACTGTTGTATAATTGCAATAAAGTACTGTATAATTTGTCAATAAAGACAAAATCTGAAGCCAGTTTCCAAAATATAGGGTAATTTATTTGTTCCAACTCCCAGTCTTGGCTAAATAAATTGTCTTTAAGTGATGCTTTCCTGAATTGAGACAAAACTATAGGGTTAGGCTTATTGACTGAAAAATGTCCAGTGTTTGTAAAATTTCTGTACAGGAACAGAGTGATGTGCAGAACAACCTAAAACTGCTTCTCATTTCATCCCATCACATTCCATCCTTCCCTCCATGTCTTTCAGTCAGTCTTGCTCCCTCCACCCCTTCTTTTCACTCTGTTCCCTCATCTTCCATGCTCTCTCTCTTTCTCGCCTCCCTCTTTCTGACATTCACACAGTCCCTGCAGTCTTATTGACCTTGGTTCCTTCTCATTTGCATCCTCCATTTTTCATTCCTCGGAATATGGCGTTGGGGGACTTTTCCATCATTAAGTGAATTTACAGCGATTTCCTTATGTGTTTTCTCCGAGGGATTGGGTTATGAGATACACATTAAATATCCATTAATACCTCATTATCCCACTGATAAGATTACCATGATAATGAGGCAGAAATTCTAATTGTTTCACTACTGCGGGTGCCACTCATTTAATCATGCACCTGAAAGACGGGCGGCCCAGAGCCCCTGCCTCACTCACTGTAAACAGGGCCAGCGGGGGAAAGCTCTCCTGCAGGCCCACCAAACCTGCCCTTGTGCGCGTGCGTATGTGGGTAGACGTGACCTGTGGAGAGCTTCATACAGAGCGCTCATGATCTCCGCTTCCGCCCAACCATCAAACGCCCCCGCACACATGCAAACACCCCCCCCACCCCGACATGCTAGCTGTTCATTCTCCCCCTCCCTTTCCTGCTCCCCATCTCCATTCTTCTGCCTTGTTAGGCGTTAACTCCTGTTGAGAGTGTTGCAGAGAGAGGAGGCGTTGTGTGGGATGCTGGTTGAGAGAGTAATGAGGTTATGAGTGATGCTCGGCTCGATCCACACCTCAAAGTCACAACCCTGATGATACTGTGTGTGCGTGTCTTGGTCTTTGTGTGAGGAGGGAGGCAGCAATTAACCTTTGGCCATTCCTGTTGCAGTCCGCCTACCTGCTGCTTTAGATCATAGACGCCTCATACCCATGTGTTTCTTATGCGTGTTCTCCTCAGGGGCTGCTGCAGAGAACGCATTGTGCAGCATGCTGTGTCTGCCGGTGCTTCTGGACCCGTACGGTTCTACCATCTCTGAGACGGCGAGTGAGGCGTGGAGCGTGGAGGTTCTGCCGAGTGACTCAGGTGATTGATATATATATATATAAAAAAGCAAATAAAGAAAACATTTGTATTAAAGCATTGGATCTGTGCTTTGGGACTTAATGGGTGCAAAATTCACTTTTACATGGTGTTTGAACTTAAATGTGTGTTGGCAGTGTGTACACAGCCACCCTATAATGATAACAATCCACCCAGCACTTGTTTTTAAATCCCCATGAGTCATAAGCACTTTCTCAGAGCAAGCCGTTCACAGATTATTGGCAAAGTGACGTCACTTTGCACAGGCCCCTCCCAAGACTGTTGACGGACACTGCCGTTTTAGCATAGACCCGTCCTGAGTGAGCTGTAAACTGTCCGCCATTGTTTTTCAACGCCGGAGCAGATGTAGACAAGAATGACTCCTAAGCGATTGAGGTGTTTTGTTGTTGGATGTAAGAATGAACATAGCAGTGGTCATTTACTCCTGACATCTGAGCCACTGAAGACGCAGTGTATTACTTTTGTTTTTGAAGGGAATGCACCCCCCTGATCTAACTTAATGTGTCTATGGCCCAATCCCAATTCTACCCCTTAGCCCTTCCCCTTTCCCCTACCCCTCCGTTTCGCGCATTCACGTGAAGGGGTAGGGGTGTCTCAATTCTCTTTTGGTTGGAGGGGTAAGGGGAAGGGCCAGATAGCCCTTCAAACAAAGATTTTTCGGGATCACACTTCAAACGAAGGGGTATGAATTATCTCGGCGTAAACCGGCTTCAGGGGCAACATGGCTGCCCAAGTGAACAAAAAGACACATAAATGTAAGCATATTTGGCATTAATAAAGATTTTAACGAAAAGTAATCATATGTTTTATGTTACATTCAATCGTGAGTTCATATTTACGGTCATGTTACTCAGAGAAATATTTGCAAAAAATCGCTAATATTTGCTAACTAACGTCATATCATTATAGACTGCACGATTGTGCCACAACATATTTTCATGTCTGATCAGGGCGATAACCACCGTAGACATTGAGGGGGGGCTATTCCCCCCAATAATTAGAAATCGCTAAACCCTTTTCTCAAATATTGCCAATTCGAGAGAGAGAGAGAGAGAGAGAGAGAGAGAGAGAGAGAGAGAGAGATGAAAGTTGCGTGTATGCGCGTCTGTGCGTTTCTCTTTTTAGAGTGAGTTTACTTCAAAAAACAGCGATTTTATCCTCTCGTTGCTGGAAAATATAATGTAGCGATTCAGTATTTAAACTATTATTAATAAAAGTTATGGGGCAGCGTTGACAAGTTTCTTTGCTCCTAGATGTGTGAGCTGTGCGATCTCCGATATATATATGTGTGTGTGTGTGTGTGTGTGTGTAAGCAGCAAATTAATATAGAACGATAATTAAAGGCTCTAATGCACATCAGCATGCAGTACAGGTGTGTGTATTGTAGGAGCTGGACGACGTATGATGACGTGTGATGGCATAGTAGTGGTGTCCCAATACTTAGGGGAATATTTTCACCCCTACACCACCACACTCTGTTTCAAGGGACATGGGGAAGGGGAAGGGGTATAAAATAGAATTGGGATTGGGCCTGTGTCATTTTACTCCAGACTGCTTTCTGAACGAGGGACAATTCAATGCAGATTTTGCTAAAAAGTTAAAACTCAAGGATGGATCAGTACCCACTGTACGTGATCCAGCTGCACCTTCAGAAGAAGTAAGACCCGCACTTTATATTTCTTATGATTATTTGCAAATCGCCTTTGCTCTTTCATGGAAGAGAGGGGCGGGGTGAGCAGAGCTCATTAGCATTTAAAGAGACATGCACCGAAAGGGGTCACTGTGAACGGGGCTTTTTTTGACAAGGTAAAAAGGGTGTTGTTTTACACGACCACTGAGGAATTTTAACCAAAGTATGTTACAGACATTTCATGAAGACAATAAAGAATCATACCTGCTTGTGAAAAATGGGCGTCTGATGTCACCTTTAAAGTCTCAATGCAGCCTTAATAATAATAATAATAATAACTAATAATACTATTTTAATTGACATCACTCACTGTTCTTTTTCTTTATTACTGACCATTTACTTGAATAAACATTTTAATAACATATTCCATTGTTTTAGTTCATTTGGATAATTAGCATTTAACTTTTTAATTAAACCAGTGTGTTCAGTAGCATATTAAGTTTTTGTTGTTGTATCAGGAATTTAAAAATTTCAATGATTTTGGTATCCATTACTGAAATTTGGTTGTTTTGACAACCCTAATGATATTCCTGTAAACAGGGTTGACTATGTTATGAATCAGAAATAATGTAAAACCAGAGTGTGCCAGTAGCAGGCATACGGCAGTCTGTGTGTGGACTTGTCTCCCTGCCCGTTTTGCATCACAAACACTAGAAAGAGAGAATAAGTGATTGTTTTTTTCCTTTGCTGGGGTTTGTTTCAGTTCTAGGCAGTGGAAAAGTGGACTCCGAAGACCAATTGAGACCTGCATTATTACAAATGATCACATAAATGAGAGCCCTCCACGGCGATACCCTGGGTGTATTTTTGTGTGTGAGGGTACGCCGTTTTCTAGAGTTAATGAATCTGTGTTGCAGAAGCTGCAGACCTGAAGCAGGAAGAACGACTGCAGGAGCTGGAGAGCTGCTCAGGTGTGGGTAGCACTTCAGATGACACCGAGGTCAGAGAGGTCAGCTCCCGGCCCAGCACCCCGGGACTCAGTGTCGTTTCAGGTAACACATACACAAAAGCCTAATTGTCTAAATGCGTTCAAATGAGCAACCGCTGTCAATCTGGAATCGCAGAATTGTGCAAACATGAACTTGCAGAATTCAACAATCCAAAGGTTTTAACATCTTGCTTGTCACATTTGAATGTTATGCTCTGCCTTGCTGAGTTCTTTATTCAGCGACTCTTCTTCCCTGACATGCTGATAAAGACAAATAGCTATGTAAGACAACGGCAAACTCCCGAAAGACTGCTTGTGGGGAGTTTTCCCTGAGGACTTTGGCAGATAGATCGCCTTTCCTTTCTCCTTCGTTCAATCTTGCCGCTTCCATCTCTCGTTCACCTACTCTGACCTCCCTGGGGATTCTCCTGACCTCTTTGTGTGCTCAAGGGAGCATTGTCATGGTTTCCCCGCTGCCATGAAGAGCTTGAAATGAGATTGACTGTTCAACATGGCCACCACTCCATCACTTACACGCTAGACTTTTGCTTACTCTCTGAACTATTCTGGAGATCTGAGAGATATATGCACAGTCAAACTGTAAGCTCGTTTTGCTAAGGCAGCAGAACAAAGTGTTTTTTTGTCATTTGTTTCTTGTTTTAGAGGTAGTATGTCATGCCAAAGTTTCCTCAAACTACTTCACAGCTTCATAGGTAATATATTTCCTTCTGTGATTTATAATTGGAGGCTTTGCTGATTTGTTACATATTGTTTGTGCAGGCATCAGTGCCACATCAGAGGACATTCCCAATAAGATTGAAGACCTACGCTCAGAGTGCAGCTCAGATTTTGGAGGCAAAGACTCCGTGACCAGCCCAGATGGAGAGGACTCTGCTCATGGTACAAACACACAATCAAGTGACTGATTAGGAACACGTACACACACTCACTCACACACTGTGCTTTGTACTCAGAGATGCACTAAGAAAGTTTTACTCCTTAAGATGTAAATATATAACACAAGTAGAGCCTCACTGTGGCTGTCAAGACGTCAAGGTGGTTATCATGGCTGTTATCCTTTGCTGGGAAATGATTCAATTGGATGGAAATCCATTTAAATCCATTTAAGGATTGATTAAATAGATCAAAAGTAAATAAAGACTTAGGGAACAGTTATTTTATATTGATAACATTACTGTTTTACTATATTTTGAACAAATAAATGCACCCTTGGTGAGCATTAGAGACTTCTTTCAAAAACAAAAAATGGCTAATGTTATTGGCCAATGGCCATGACATTTTATATAATCACTGGCTCTTAGCGGAGGGTAGCAGACAGCATAATGCATAATGCTGACATATCAGTTGTTTAAAGGTGATAAGAGCCAGCTAAACATATAATAACTTGGTGCATCTTTAAGTTTTGTTAGGGTCTTAAACACATCTATAAAGGAGTATGTCAAACGTTTTATCTTCAGACATAATGTTTTTTTTTAATTATTATTAATTCTTATCCTGCACAGCTGTTGAATATGTTTCTTGGGATTTCTGGTGTGGGACTAACATGTCCTTTGTCACTCATTTATGTTATCCCTTTATGCACCCCCCATTGTTCCACCTCTCTAGGAGCTCACAGTCTATCCTGTGCACCCTCTCAAGCAGATTCACTGCTGGCCATGTTCGATCCCCTCTCCTCTGGAGAAGGTAATGTCACTTCCCAGCATGCACTGCTGTAGAATGCAGTACTTTCACATGTAAGAGCTAAAAAGGAGTGCCATTAATGTACCTAATGACAAAAACCCATTAAACAGCTATGAAATAAAGCAAGCACTTGCCAGATTTCTATCCATGGCCCATTCTAGTAGAATAGGGGGTTTTATTATATTGCTGTTCAAAGGCTAAATTTGATATGTGTTTGTCAAAGCCTACAAATCTACAATGGAAAGTTGTATAAATGTGTTGGAGAGACATTGTGAGAATGTGTGTGGGGCAAGGTGAGGGGATGACAGGTTGCTAGACCTCACTGCAGGCGTTTTGGCTCAGCGGCCCGTCCCCACTGAGCTAGTGGCACAGGGCTGGCATTGGAACGCACACAGCAGAGATGCTGTACCCTTGGAACAGGTGGCCTACTTTCACCTGAGGTCTGTCTGACTCTGACAGCTCTCCCAAGCTCTCTCGCGCACACACACACACACACACAAACACTCCTGCTGACAGTGCGCATGCAACCTTTTTTATGAATGCCAGTTAAACAGAAGTCATGTCACGACCCTGGCTCTAGTTTTGTTTATCAAAAACTGGAGGTTATGTTGCAAATTTCAATTTGCAAAAACATTTTTCTCACAGGTATAGAGTTTAGCCAGTGACATGATTAAATACAAAAGCAAAGACCCTCTAAATTTGGGTCAAATGTCTTTGCAGGTTCAACCACTGGCACCATCGTGCGGCCCAAGGTGCACTATCCCCGGCCCCCTCACCCTCCCCCTGACCCGCCTATTCCAGAGGCCAGCATTATGGGCTACCAGGAGCCTCGTCCACCCCTCTTCGCCCCCCACTTGGTGCAGAGTGACCTGGAGCATCCCAAACAGAGGCACTCTTACCCTGAAAGGCTGGTCAGGAGCCGCAGCACAGATGTGGTGTCTGCTGGGCGCAGACCCAACAGTGATCCCGGACTGAACCGCAGGACCATGGTGGAGGAGAGAGACCCGGCTGGGGCTTATTCCACAGGACCCACCTCTTCTCCCAGCAAGGATTCTCTCAAAGGAGAGGTGAGAAAGATGGTTTTGTGTAATCAGTATTATTTATCTATATTTGCATTACAGCATCAATATTATACTATATAAAATAACTGTTTTTTTATTTTATTATATTTTAAAGTGTAATTTATTCCTGTGATGCAAAGCTGAATTTTTAGCAGCCATTACTCCAGGCTGCAGTGTCACATGATCCATCAGTAATCATTCTAATATGCTGATTTGCTGCTCAAGAAATATTTCTTATTATTATATATTATATATTATAAATATTGAAAACAGTTGTGCTACTTAATATTTTTGTGGAAACCAGGATTTTTTTTTTTTTATCAATTTAAAGTTAAAAAAGAACAGCATATTTTTAAATTCGATATCTTTTGTAAGAGTATAAATTCTTTTATGCTACTTTTGATCAGTTTACGTTTTCTTTCTTTCAAAAATCGAATTATTAAAATTAAATTAGTAGAAAAAAATCTTCCTCAATGTAAAATTTTAATTTCTGGAAAAAAATTCTCAAAATTCAACTGTTGCATAAATTTAAACTTAAATTTAAAAAACTTTTTCTTCATTCAGGGTTTGAGTTACTTGAGGTCAAGTAATTGGCAGAATGTAAATGTTTGAGTGAACAACTACTTTAAATAATCATGTTTTTGTATGTGTGCAGTCTGAGGACAGAAAGGATAGCGATGATGAGAAGTCTGATAGGAACAGACCCTGGTGGAAGAAGCGCTTTGTTCCTGCCATTCCTAAAGGTGAGAAGCCCAACTCTTATTTCCTGAAGGTTTTTTAATGGATACATGTCTGCTTTCATCCTGTGGATCAGTGGTCAGTGGCTAGAAAATTGCATTTAAATATGGAAATAGCTGGTATAGAAAAAAAGCATTCTTTTTGATTAGGGGAAAAGTGCTGATAGTATCTGCTTCTGTTATTGGTTCAATTGGAATGATGTCAATACAATTAAAAACATTAATATTGACTAATACTGATATGGTCACTGCTGTAATGTGCATCCCTACTTTATAAGTGTGCAAAATTTGAATGCGCAAAACTTTAAATGTGTATTTGGATTATTGCATTTGTGAATTGGAGAAGAATTTGTCTTTCTGATTTTCATCTTTAAGAACACAAATATTCATTTTAAAAATCAAGGGTTTTCTATTGAATGTTCTTTTCTTTTAGATGTTTGATCATTTTACAGGAAAGATGTTTTGAATGGAATTACCATGTACGTTTAAATGTGTGGGGTATAAAATATATATTCTATTTTATACTATTTTTGTTTTTTACAATTCTTCGATGAATTTAATGTTCAAAAGAACAGCATTTATTTGAAAAATGGAAATCTATTGTAACATTATAAATTGTTTTACTGTCACGTATGATCAATTTAATGCATCCTTGCTGATTAAAAGTATACATTTCTTTCCAAAAAAAAAACTAAACAAAAAAACAACAACTTTTGGACAGCCAAACTCCCAAATGCAACTCAAATCAGTCTAACATTCTAAGTCTCATTAGCAATTAGCATTTAGCATGGCTCGGGCGAAAAGTTTGTGTGTGAAGCCCAACCCTGTCTGTTGCTGTCTGTGTTCCTCACACAGTGCTCTATTGGACAGCAGAGGGTGAACTCCCAGGTAACCCACTCTTCAAGCACTCTCCCACTCAGTTTAGTGCTGTACACTAGCAGCCCGAATATTTGCTAGCTCGTGTAGACTTCTCTTCACCACTGTGTGACGGCTAGAGCTGTGACGCAACACAGTCAAGCTTCATCTTTTCATTCATGCAGCCATCTTGGATTTCCATAATTTATTTTGTAGTGGTTGCTGGTTGAACTCTATAAAAGGATTTTGCTCAAATGCACTTGAAAAAGATGCATAATTTGCTGTAGGGATACAAAAACTACTTAAAAATACTACCTACTTTGGTGTCAAGTCAAAATTAAAATGAATAATAAAAATGTATGTAAACTTTTTTTTTTATTTAATTAAAAGAACAAGCTTGTTTACTTGCATATTACTTTTTGTTGTGGAATCAAAATTAGTGTTGAGAGTCGAGACATTTTGCTGTCCTTGTTAACTATTGAAATTTTGGTATCAGAACCTCAATTTTCATAGACTTGTCATATAAAGACAGTCTCATCTGTTTTTTTTTTTTTGCACATACACATGGCATTCTGCAGCACAGAGGCCCACATCTGTGTGTTTGCACTTAGTAGTGACATGCTTCCTGTTTTAGTTCCCCATTACTGAATATTTGGTAGTGGCTGTGTGGAGCAAATACATTCAAAGCATGTTCGTCCATTTGGTACAGTGGACTGGAGAGGGTCCGTGTCTTGAGGTTTGCCTTGTAGGAGCACGGCTGCAGCGTTGTGCGATTTTTGTGAGAATAACTACTTCTGTTAATTTTTGCAGTGCCGATCGCAGGACTCCGAAAGCGGGACAAGCCAGAAAAAGACGAGCAAGGAGCGGAGAGGGTACCACAAGGGTTATTATTATTATTTTATTTTTATTTTTTTTATGCTAGGGTGCAGTCCTGTTTAAAAGGAACCTTCATCTGAACTAAAGTTTTCGTAGCTCTGTACACATGGGGTGAAAGTAGCTGTTCCACAGGTTTTGAGGTTCAAAACACTGTGCATTTATGTCTGGCCCCTGTCTCCTCTCTCTCCTCAGACAACGAGATTGTGTGCTTTCTGAAGGTGCAGCTGGCGGAGGCCATTAACCTGCAGGATAAGAACCAGATGGCTCAGATCCAGGAGACTACGCGCTGCGTCAGCCACCTCGACCCCCGCACCTGCAGAAAACTGCTCACTGCCATGGCAGAGGACTACAAGTACACACATTACTCTTTTATTTTCTCCCTCTCTATCTTTCTCTCTCTCTTAATGTCTCACTAACTTGGTCACATTGTTTCTCTCTTTTACTCACTTCTCTCACACACAACTTTGAATCACCATTTAATAAAAGATTGTGTTGACATATTTTTGGGCATGACTCCATGCTGTGATGGTTTTGTGCACTAGGAAACGGGCTCCATACATTGCCTATCTGACGCGGTGCAGGCAAGGCCTGCAGACATCTCAGGCTCATCTGGAGCGACTCCTGCAGAGAGTGTTGAGAGATAAAGAAGTGGCTAACCGCTACTTTACCACCGTCTGTGTCCGACTGCTCCTTGAACACATGGAGTCAAAGATGCTTGACTTCATCAAAGGTCTGTATGCACCTCTATGAATATGTGAAATGATTATGCTCGCTCGTTTGGTGTCGATTGCCGAATCCTGAAAAATCCAGTGTGTTTGAGTCATTCTCAGGGCAGAGGTGGATGTTTGTCTCATTAGAGTCTCAAACTTTAATTACTTGGTGGTCACTAGCCAGCTGGAGTTCTCCGTGGGGCCAGTTCAACAGTTACAAAAATACATGTTTTACAGATACTAATTGTATAGTTATTTATGCACGATTGGCCCTTTTCGGAGTATAGTCATGAATACTCAATAAAAGTCATGTATTTTTTTCAGAGATCTTTGATGAATAGAGAATTCAAATGAACAGGTTTTACTTGAAATATAAATATTTTGTAACATTATACATGGATTTACTGTCACTTTTGATCAATTTAGCATATCCTTGCTAAATAACACTATTAAAAAAAGCACTAAAATACTTGGCAGTAAATTTGCACGTACGATATTTGTATAATTTTATTTCACATAGACAGGCAAAATAAAGTGTCTGGAGTAGCTGCTGCTGGTCGAAAAAATTAAATATTTTCTTAGTGCAAAATAAAATAACCATGCGTACATTTAGTTCATCTAAATTTGAGTCGTTGTATGAAATGATAGCGTGAGATCCCTGCATTTAAGTCTGACTCTCTCTGTGGTTCTGCAGCATTTCAGGGCTGCACAGCATCTGATGATAAGACGGCAGCCGTGGAGGATTTTCTGCGTTACCTGTATGGAGCCATGGCCCATGATGCCATCTGGCAGTACGCCAGTGAAGAGCAGCTCCAGGATGCCCAGATGGCCATCGAACGCAGCGTCATGAACCGCATCTTCAAACTGGCATTCTACCCCAATCAGGATGGGGACATCCACAGAGACGAGTGAGGAAACTCATAAAACCTTCTTCCTTATTCCTGTTAATTTCCACATAGTGTCTAAACCAGATGTGATGCATTAAGCAACCTCCTCTATACTAATCTGTCTGACATTTTGTCAGTCAAATGGTTTCTGTCTTTATCGCATTGCACTGGATGGCCCCGCCCACAATGAAATCTCATTAGTACAGAATCATGTTTATGCCTGCATATTAAACACTAAATATAAAAAAAAAAAAAAAATTAGGGATGGGCAATATGGACTATATCACAATATTTTCTTGTATTTATTGCGATAAAAATATCAATGACGATAATTCATATTCATATTCAAAAAAACTCCTGTTTGTTTAGAGAGAAGTATTATCTTTCCTATTTTTACTGCCCTCGCGCAGAAACTCCTCATATGCATCACAGTAATAGAACTTATGACGTTCCAGGAAATCCCTAATATGGACAAAGAAGACATCAGCTAGCTATATATATATATATATATATAGAACCTTAAGTGCAGCAGAATTTTTTTTGTAATCTTGGCCAGATCTGTGCCTTGCCACAATTCAGTCTCTGAGCTCTTCAGGCAGTTCCTTTGACCTCATGATTCTCATTTGCTCTGACATGCACTGTGAGCTGTAAGGTCTTATATAGACAGGTGTGTGGCTTTCCTAATCAAGTCCAATCTGTATAATCAAACACAGCTTGACTCAAATGAAGGTGTAGAACCATCTCAAGGATGATCAGAAGAAATGGACAGCCCCTGAGTTAAATATATGAGTGTCACAGCAAAGGGTCTGAATACTTAGGACCATGTGATATTTCAGTTTTTCTTTTTTAATAAATCTGCAAAAATGTCAACAATTCTGTGTTTTTCTGTCAATATGGGGTGCTGTGTGTACATTAATGAGGAAAAAAAAATTAACTTAAATGATTTTAGCAAATGGCTGCAATATAACAAAGAGTGAAAAATTTAAGGGGGTCTGAATACTTTCCGTACCCACTGTATATATATATAAAGACATCCATCTATCGCTGTAGCTGAGTTAAAAGATAGAAATGCTTAAACTGACCAAACATGAAGACAATAAACATGATTATGACAATATATGGTTTATCTGTGTTCTTCAAGCCATCTTGGGTATTTTTGTGAGAATAAAGTATATTTATAATGCAATGCTAATCAATTTATCACTTTTATCACTCGCCTTTATCACTGTATAGAATACTATAAAATATCGTGCTACTGTAGTACATTTATTCATTGCACAGACCGATTTTTTTTGTAGCGCTGCACAGCCTTGACCAAACCAGTCCCAGATTGTAGAGGCAGCTCCTCATTTGTCTATAAACTCCTCATCAGTTTCACGTCTGCTTTCCGCCATGGCACTCCACACGGTCGAAAACAGAAATATGTCAACAACTAGGTTTTATCGTTATCACGAGAAGACTAATTCTTATCATGGGGAGAATTTTTACCAGTATATCGCAAACGATAAAAGCACAGCCATTTGAAATGGGGATGGGCGAGATCTTGTTTATTTGCACAAGAAAATAGTATAAGTGGTTAATGGTATGTTTTCTTTATTCAAGGCTATTCCTGGAGCACATTCAGCGTCTGTCCAAAGTGGTGACGGCCAATCACAAAGCTCTGCAGATCCCAGAGGTAACCGTTTGCACTATGTCTCAAAATATAGTAAGAAACAAAGACAGAAAAATAGCAATTTGATCTTTGTGTGTGTGAATCTATGCAGGTCTATTTGAAGGAGGCACCATGGCCCTCAGCACAGGCTGAGATCAGGACCATTAACGCCTATAAGACCCCACGAGATAAAGTACAGTGTATCCTGCGCATGTGCTCCACAATTATGAACCTGCTTAGCCTGGCCAATGAGGACGCTGTACCCGGGGCTGACGACTTTGTCCCTGTGCTCGTCTTTGTCCTGATTAAAGTGAGTTAAGAGACAACCTTAGAGTGTTAATGTTCATTATTGCGTTAAGTGTGTTGTGTGTTCTGTAACAGTACAAATGATCATTTCTGATAGTTGGCACTAAGGCCCATAAGCATTGGTGTCTTCTAAGTAATCAAATATTCTTTGGTATTTAATAAAAATATCTCTTTAGAAGTTCATTAAATAAATTCAGCTTGTTCTGTAATCACAACTACAGTACATCCACAACACATAATGACTTTATTATGCAGCTTTAAGACGTAATGAAAAACTGCATATCCTTTCAAATACAAGCAACTTGCAGTTTCATGAGAGCAGGATCCATGGCTTTGTCCTTTAAAAAGATGCCTAATATGCCTTTGTTTTTGCCTCCCTGATGCTTAAAACCAGCTGAACAATTTTATTTCCACTGATACAATAAATTAAAAATATTTTTGAAAAAAATTACATTAATTAAAAGAACAAGCAAACACTATATTAGCCAGTAGCTGATATGGTACCAATATATTGTGCATCACTGCTACAAATTACATTTTAAAAATGAAACCGTTGTAGATTATTCTATTTAAAAGATTAGTTCACTTGCAGAATACAAATATCCTTGATAATTGACTCACTCCTATGTCATCCAAGATGTTCATGTCTTTCTTTCTTTCTTCAGTTGCGAAGAAATTAAGGTTTTTGAGGAAAACATTCCAGGATTTTTCAACACATAATGGGACCCAATGGGCTGAAGGTCCAAATTGCAATTTCAGTGCAGCTTCAAAGGGTTCTACACAATCCCAGCCGAGGAATAAGTGTCTTATGTAGCGAAAAAATAGGTCATTTTCAAAAATACAAAAAATTAACATTTATATACTTTTTAACCACAAATGCTGGTCTAGCACTAGCTGGACGCATCACGTAATCACAGTGGAAAAGTCACGTGCGGTTAGCTCTTTCGTCTGTATACTCTGGTTCAGAAAGATAGAGTAGGGTGTAACTCCATCTCATTTTCTCCTCCAACTTCAAAATCATCCGACATCGTTGTTTGACCTTTTTTGTAAAGGGTGTTTGACTTTCTTTGCACATTCGCTTTGTAAACGCTGGGTCGGTACTTCCGTCTATGTCATGCCTGACCTTCCCAACGTGACTACGTAATGTGTGAAGTCAAGCTAGTGCAAGATGTCATTTGTGGTTAAAAAGTATATACATTTTTTATTTTTTCTTGTTTTTTTTTTTTTTTAGAAAATTACAGATAATTTCTCTAGATAAGACCTTTATTCCTCGGCTTGGATCATGTAGAGCCCTTTGAAGCTGCACTGAAACTGCAATTTGGACCTTCAACCCGTTGGCCACCATTGAAGTCCATTATATGGAGAACAATGCTGGAATGTTTTCCTCAAAAACCTTAATTTCTTTTCGACTGAAGAAAGAAAGGCATGAACATCTCGGATGACATGGGTGTGAGTAAATTATCAGGAAATGTTTATTCTGGAAGTTAATTTTATAGACATTACAGTTCAAATGTTTTGGGTTTGGTACGTTTTTTTTTAATGTTTTTGAAAGAAGTCTCTCTTATGCTCTACAAGACTGCATTTATTTGATCAAAAATACAATAAAAATGTAAAAAGAACAGGTTTTATTAGAAAAGAAAAATCTCTTTACTGTCGCTCTTGATCAATTTTATGCATCCTTGCTGAATAAAAGTATTAATTTCTTAAAAAAAAAAAAACAAGTTACAAACTTTTGAATGCTAGTTTGCTTCAAGGTTAAAACCTGTCAAGTCTTCAGAAACAAAGTTAATGTTCTGATCCTAATGCTAGAGTTATTTCGTTTGCTTGATGCATGTAAGTTTTGTTATTTTGTGCAGTGTTTTTTCAGTTTTCCCCACCCCATACCTATTTTCATTTGCTATGCACACACCCACACCAGATTTTCGAAACTTGTAAGTGCGCTTGAATGTGTAAGCATGCACAATGTGGGTGGTCAGATGTTAATTCCCCCCTCTCGCTCGTTCTCTCCCTCCCTCCAGGCAAACCCTCCCTGCCTTCTGTCCACCATTCAGTACATCAGTAATTTCTACGCCAGCAGACTGAGTGGGGAGGAGTGCTATTGGTGGATGCAGTTCACTGCTGCAGTGGAATTCATTAAAACCATCGACGATCGCAAGTGAAGCAGAACAGCCACCTGTATGGGCAGACTGTAGGAAGGAGAGAGAGAGAGAGAGAGAGAGAGAGGACGGCACGGACGACTACTCTCCCCTTCATCGAGAACGCACAGCGTGGCATCGCTTCAGTCTGTATAGCTGTACATAGAGGCAAAAACACTTCAAGTTTAAAATCGATCAAACATTAGATATGATCATGACAGGTTTTACTGCGCTGGGGTATTAAACTAATGAAAACAAATAATGCGGCAGGTGGCAACATTGCCACTCTCTACTGATCTCGCTTATTACCCAAGTTTTTTTCTGTAGTGCTGGGGAGGTGCTGGGGCTTAGAATCTAATTTTATATTAAACACCGATTTAGCAAGTAATTAGCTCTGTTAAAACATACCTATCAAATGAAAAAGGGACCAGGAACTACCTGCATCGATCATGTGTCGGGACGCTTCTGAGGGGAATCCATGATTCTGTCCTCCTTGTATAAACCGTGCAATCTCACCCCGTTCAAATCTAACGTCGAGTCATATCGAAGAACGCATCACTATAGATGCTGCAAGAGTATCAATG